AACACCTGCTCACCTGGCGCAGCTGTTAGCCTCACCTGCTCAGGTAGAGGAGCTGTGATTGGTTCATTCTGTTCTCATCAAACTCACTTCATTCTCTCTCTGATCACTCTCTTGTTTCTCTTCAGAGCCAGTCAGACTGGTGGGAGGAGAGAGTCGCTGTGAAGGAGCTCTGGAGGTGAAACATCAGGGAGAATGGAGACCAGTGGACGCTCTTCTCTCCCTGGACCCTGAAGGAAGCAGGTGATCTCTGCAGAGAGCTCGACTGTGGCTCTGCTGTTTCTGTAGGACAGAGAATGGAGTCCTCAAAGACACCTGTGTGGAGGATCTATCCTCTCTGTCTTCAGTCTGGATCCATGAGGGACTGTGCATCATCAGGTTCCTCTCGTTACGTCATGACGCTCTTCTGCTCAGGTAAGCCCATCAGTGACAAGTCTCTGTGGACAGAGCTGACACAGCCTGTCTGTCTCTCACCTGTCTCTGTGTTCTCTTCTCTGCAGACTCTGTCAGGCTGGTGGGGGGGACTGGTCTGTGCTCAGGCAGACTGGAGGTGAACTCTGACCCGTCTAACCCCGTCCTGGTCCTCAGTGTGTGAGGCTGACTTTGACCAGCAGGATGCTCAGGTGGTCTGCAGGCAGCTCGGCTGTGGGGCTCCTTCAGTCCTCCAGGTGGCGCTCTATGGAGAAGGGGAGGCTCCAATGGGGACCAAAGAGTTCCAGTGTGGAGGCCATGAGTCTGCTCTCCTGGACTGTAGCTCAGCCTCAGAGAGAAACACCTGCTCACCTGGCACAGCTGTTAGCCTCACCTGCTCAGGTAGAGAGGAGCTGTGATTGGTTCATTCTGTTCTCATCAAACTCACTTCATTCTCTCTCTGATCACTCTCTTGTTTCTCTTCAGAGCCGGTCAGACTGGTGGGAGGAGAGAGTCGCTGTGAAGGAGACCTGGAGGTGAAACATCAGGGAGAATGGAGACCAGTGGTGAGCTCTTCTTCTCCCTGGACCCTGAAGGAAGCAGCAGTCGCCTGCAAAGAGCTCGACTGTGGCTCTGCTTTTCCTGTGGGAGGGAGAAAGGAGTCCTCAGAGAGAGATGTGTGGGGGATCAGCTCTGACTGTCTTCAGTCTGGATCTCTGACGGAGTGCGCAGAATCAGATTCCTCTCCCTACGTCGTGCGTCTAAACTGTGCAGGTTAGCCCAAAAAAAAAGTGTCCTCTCTCTCTCTCTCTCTCTCTCTCTCTCTCTCTCTCTCTCTCTCTATCTCTCGCTAGATGCGCTCTCTCTGCTCTCTCTACTGCGCTATTATCTCTCTCTCTCTCTCTCTCTCTCTCTCCGAGTGAGTGTGTGAGGACTTTGGTGGTGAGCTGAGAGCGTGGTGAGGTTTGATGGTAACTTTTTTTCTTCCTCTACTTTGTGAATATAATAAGGATAGTTAACATTTTACTTCAAACAACATTTAAAAGAACCTTGTTTTGTGTTATGTATACATGTGTTAGGGGATTTATTGTTTTGTTTTTTATATATGCTAGATGTTCTTTCCTTTTAAAAAGACAAATACAGCTTAATTTAAACAAGTTCCTTTATTGTAAGGCACAACATGTTCAGCATTCTCAACACATACAATACACAACATGTTCTTCAGTTATATTATGTCTCTAGGTTATAAATTGTTTTAGAACAAAGCTGTTTGTGTCACACTGGGATCAAAGATGATTGACATGGCTTTATTAAATCAAGTTTTAAAACATGACTATTTTATTTCAACAGAACCCAAAAACACAAGGGGTATAAAATGGTAAATAAATACTGTGATTGAACACAAAAACACCATCTATTATTGACCTTTATAGCAAATTCAAAACATTTACTATATAAATGATACAAAACACCACCTTTTAGTATTAGACAGAAAATAGGTGACGACGAGACATATTTCTATTTTTTTTAGATTAGGCCACTGTGGTGAGAGTAATACATATAGCTTGTATTCCATTTGTTTTGAAAATGTATATTTATACTTTATAAACAAACTGGTTACCCTTTTTTAAAATTAGCATACAGAACATTATGAAAACAAACTTGACTAATGGTCGGCTCAGAACACAGAAGAGGAAAAACTGCATAGATTCTCGTTTCATTTTGAAGGAGCTGCAGACCTAAAGTGTGTAGAAGACTTAAATGATTACAAAGGTCACAATCACATTAATAAAACGGTACTAAGGTTTTAGTTTTGAACCATCTTCGATCCCCCTGAAGTGTTCGTGGGAAGAACTTCAGGTGTGGCTGCTTGGGCCGCTCTGCTCTTGACTCGGAGATGTCTGTGAAGAAATAAGAGGCAAAATCAGTTATTCTGATATTAAAATAATGATTATAAAACGAGTAGCTAACCCCTCTCCATAGTAATTAATTACAGATATGATCTGTTATATATGACAATTCTATTCAAACTCAACTACCAATAACCATGAATCAGAATGCTTTAAGTGTTTATGTCATGACTTGTGTGCTCTTCCTCCTCCTCTCCCTCATCTTTCTCCTCTTCCTCCTCCTCCTCCTCCTCACTAGCCCTATGCTGCTGCTCCCCTGCCAGCTCTGTCTCTCCTTTACTCATCTTCTTCTTAAAATAAGAAGAGATGTCTGTTGACTTTCTCTTCATTTTCTGCAAATTGACATTACACACAGCAGTGATTAATAGTAGCCTACGCATTACACCAGCCCAGCATACCGACACACACCCACCCACCACCAAACCAGGCTCCCAGCACCCACCCACCACCAAACCAGGCTCCCAGCACCCACCCACCACCAAACCAGGCTCCCAGCACCCACCCACCATCACACCAGGTTCAAATTATGCTGGAACCATCACACCAAATCCCACCAATGCGGCAGCCACGTAAAATAACCAAAACAATGACAGGTATGTTTAGCTTGTCTTCTACTCACATTTAGATGCCACATAAGCATCAGTAAGTTCATGTTGCATTTTTGTAGACGTTCCAAACATTGATTTATTAAAGGCCGGACTCATATTTGCCTTCAAATGTTATGCAAGGATGCTATATTAATGTTTCGCACACATGCACATTTTGGAGTTAAAACAAAGACACAACAGAGTAACCTGTATGTATGTTGTCTGATAAGCTGAAGTCACATTCATTAAAACCTTTCTATACTTTATAATTTAATAGAAAGCTTGCACATCCTTGCCTAATGTAATATAGTGCTACAGAGCCCAAGTCCCAGTGTAATGAATATAAGACTAAAACATATCCACTCAGTAGCAAGCAATGTAAGATGTAATCAGTCCATTAGCAGACACAGCAACATCCCGAAGGAATGGCAGAGAAGCTAAGATTTTGAATGAAACCATGTGTAGACTCGTAAACTTCTGTGATTTCTCAGTAGGAAACACTAAATGTGCTTATGTCACACAGTGGAAATGTTTGCATTCTGAGTTGAGCCCTATACAAAACGTACTTTACCTGTTCTGCACACGTGTGCGGTCTCGAGGTGTTCCCTGTCCGCAAAATAATAAAGACAAGGAACCGAAAGGTAGGATAATGATTACCTGGATGACAGTGTTTGCTGTTGGATAACTTTTCTGAATTTGTATAGCAATTACTTTATCTTACCTTGAAGGAATGCTGTTGTCCAATTCACAATATTAAGCTATTTGTGTAAACATCCTGTAAATCCCTCTAGTCGGTCAGATGTCTTTTTTCATGACTATTTTTTTAAATATATGCAAACTATTTGAACAATACATATATTATAAGTACTTGTGAAAGTACAAAGTTCAAATAACATACAGATGTACAATGTCTTTGTCTGCCTGCCACAGGGGGGGACGGAGCACCTTTATGACTGGGAGCCCTGCATATATTTGATGAAAACATAAAAATATTAAGAGTACATACATAGGGGGAAAGTAGAAGGTCAATCATAGAAATATAGATGAAAATATCAAGAAGATACTGTAGTGATCTCTACAATAACACAGTTTAGTGCAGGATGTCCAAAGATATTAATAGGACGATGTGCAAAACAGACAAACTAATTAGGCTTTATTTAAACATTAAAGAATACTTTAGGTTAAGGTCTTCTTTTGAATAAGAAAAAAGCTTTGGGGGTATCTACAGATATTAAGCCTGACAAAGTACTTAACGTCTAATATATTGCATAATTTGTTTTGGGACTTGACAATCAACTTTCCTGCGATGTTAACTATGTTGAAGCACTTATTTTTACTAATATTATACATATTTATTATACTCTTATAAGATGTATGTAGATAGTATAAGAAATGTGCAGAATATGACAGTTTAATGGTGGAGGTACACACATATTGATAGATGTCTTGTAATGCACTGTTGAGGAACCTGTGACCCAAGTTTTTCATCTCCGACCTTTTTCATCTCTGACCTTGTCAGGTATTGAACATTCAATAAATGAGGAACAGAGAATTATTAAATATAAAACACAGAATTTGTGTGATTATACTAAATAATTTACAAATAAACACCACTGCATATTTACAACTGTTACACATGCTGCTGTAATGAAAAAATGTTGACCCGTCCGACTCCAGTTTGGATAGTGTGCCGTGGTTTCATCCCATTTCAAAGTGCTGTTTGGCGCTCGGCGTAACCCTCGGCGCACTGCCACTCAAACATCCAATCACAGAGCTTGAGGACTAATCACAGGGTTTGTCAAGCAAAGCGGAGAGAATACTTACTTCCGGGTGTAAAACTCTCTAAAGCAACTACTATGAGCTGCTCCGACCCTCGGTCCTGACGGACTCCAAAAGTCCAACATTATACAATCAAACAAATAAATAAACACAAGGATAATTGTGTCTTATTGTTGAGTAAATAACAGTGTGTGGTTTAGAAAAGAATACAAAATTAGAAGTACGAGTTGGGAGTGAGAATGTGTTGGTATTTACCCTGCATTATGCACATGTTACTAATAAAGGATTATGTTATTGTATGAACTCTATTAACAATGTATTCACATTAATAGTTCATTATCAACGAATGACAAAATGCAGTGACAAGAAAACAACCATTGTATAGCACTTGTTTGAGTAATAAGAGGCAGTTTCATATAAAGGCAAGGCAATTTATTTTCATACACATCAGCAAGTCAAAGCGCTTTAAATAAACGGAAATACAAAATATAAACACATTTTCACATTACTATGAACTCAGTCGGGCGAAACAAGTGCATAGTTTCATTGTTCTCATATATTTGTCTTTATTTTGTATGGCTTTAAGTGTGTTTTAAATGTGTTGTGTCATTATTATGGCGTGCACAGCTGCACCTTTGGCAGAAACCTTTACAGGTCTTCTTCCTCAGACTCAGGGCTAGTGTAGTCATTGTCATCCGACTCCTCAATGTCCGGCTGTAAATAAAGATCATGGCATTCCATAGCGGCTACACCGCTGTACGCATGTACAGCCTGTTTGTGTTGGCTTTTGAGGAAGTGCCACCTCCGACTGAGGACACTCTTGAGCCCATGTGCAGCATCCTCTGTCAGGTCACCGAAATCTGTAGAGGAATAATCACACAGCAAAAGGGCTCAATGTAAACAAACCATGACAATTGCAAATCTCTTTGCATTGTACAATGCTGCATATGTAAAAACGCTACAAAATAGGTAAATCCATCTTAAACTGAAGGATGTTACTATATATTGGGTGCCAAATGGGACATGTTGATTAATGTTTGATATAGTGCTTAACAATTAGTCAATAGACAGAAAATAATCGATTATGATCTTGATAATGAATAGTTTCAGTAATTTACTATTTCACTTCGGCCTGACACAGTGACAGATGTGTTCTACTTATGTAAGACATGCAATGTGTTGAGTGGATGAAAAGATTCAGATTTTAAGATCTCAGACATACTGCTGGTTTTGATGCCCTCCAAAGTCTGTCCTCTGAGTGCTTCCACTTGTACTTCCTTCAGAAGGAACATGATGTGCTGCGACATCTCTTTCACCAGGATGCTCTGCTCCTCCTCCAAACGTTTGACCAGCATTACCTGGTCAAAGACAGACCTCTTCAACCTGAAGGTGTTGCCTTTAGGTTGAGGAAAGGAATGGAGTAGTGGACAAGGAATATTTATTCATATATTATATTATTACAGAATGATTTTCATTTCTGAGACACAAATCTTTGTAG